CGAATAAATGATATTTTTTTCAAAAGCTTTCGCACATGCAGGTTTTAAATATTTCACATTTATTGTCAAGATTCCTCATTCGGCTACAGTAATGTGTAGATTAACTAGCATATTAACTTCAAGATAACCCGATATTTTTATTAGCCACGGCATAGCGGCTCATAGAATAGCTCTGAGTTTTTTTTTTTTTTTCAAGTACAAACTTTTAACTCGTAGCTCCATCTTTTTACTGATTTTAGATTTAATTACAGCCGCGGCTATTGAGGATTTCCTCTTGCCTATGAAGGTGAGTAATTGTACCTAGAACGCCCCTGTAGTTCCAAATGAGATTGCCCTCCCCCACCTCAGTGTCTTTACGGTAAGTCTATGGGCTTTTAAAGCTAAAAATCGGGTTTCGACACCCACGGTGGGGACAGTACAGACAGCCCATTGTGTAGTTTTGGGCTTAACTACAAACAAAACGAAATGAGATTACGAATCAGTTTGTATGTACCTGAGAAATGCTGTTCGTTAGAACTTACGACATTCCGTTTTTTATTATACCTAAGTAATAAAAAAACAGCACAAAAAAAAACGCAGTCAATATTTATGCAAATTTCTCCTGGTGGCATACACACCACGAATTCATATACCTGTAGACGCACTTAGACTTGGTAATGCTGCTTTATCGCCTGCTTTATCACTCCTCTCTCTTGCCAGAGATTTATTTATACCTCAGGCTATTTGGTGAGGAAATATTTAAGATATTGTTGCTGTGTTATTTACCTATAGGCTAACGCAAGATTCGTCAACGGCGCTGCGATCGCACTAACATGTCCGCTCTAAACTATACACTCGTGCACGAGTGCAAATAGTACTATTACTTGCTAACCAGAAAAATTATTGTACAACATTATCGTTAGACATTCCGACAAGGATTAGGCCTTATATCAACAACTTCGGCGTTTTTAAAACTTCAAATTCGTGTTTCTAGATTTAAAATATAAATAAATGTTTAGTTTTTATCTCTATGCAGTCACACTTAGGATGAGATAATGATAACACGGCAAACATATTGCCCTTATCTTAATCCGTATCCTGTTGACTTTCGAATTTTTATCCTATATTAGAACGGTTCTATAAATTACAGCAGGTGTCGCTGTTAACTCTGCAATCCAACCAAAATTAGCTAACACTAAGTAGTCTTTGTGTGTTAATCTGAGCAACTGTTTTTTTATTTATTTTTTTCAACGCATTTGATGGTTTATGGTCCTTAAGTAAATATTACAACTGACTTACTTTTCAATATAGCATAACTACGAGCTTTTTTAGAACACAAATAAGGATCATTTGATACTCATTCTTAAAATGCGAGCTAACCAGAAACCTATATTGTAAGTTATCTTCGTCCCCAGAATAATAATATTACAGTTGCGCTTGCTCTTACTTTTATCACGTACCATCATTTTTTTTTCTTTACCACAACTTGCCTACTCACTGTGTCTGTAAAAGGAAAAACGAAGGGCACGTTATTAGCTTTGAAAACAGCTGAGTCAAATAAGTATCCTGTGCAGGGTGTTGCCTTGATCGTGGGTAGGTCACAAAATGTGTAACACCTACTCAAAAAAGAACGATTGACATTCAAGGTGTTTATGGCGTGTCGTTGATTACCTGTATGAAATTCCAATGATTTACCGACCAATTTCCTGTATAATTTGGTATTTTAACACTTATGCTGCTTTAGTTTTCCCGGAAACGTATGATTTACCGACCAATTTCCTGTATAATTTGGTATTTTAACACTTATGCTGCTTTAGTTTTCCCGGAAACGTATGATTTACCGACCAATTTCCTGTATAATTTGGTATTTTAACACTTATGCTGCTTTAGTTTTCCCGGAAATTTCTTGTTTTGTAATATTTAATAAGTCACGAAGCGTTAGTTTTCTTGCTACAACCAGACACTTTAGTTTTACTGCCACATCCGGACACTTTAGTTTTCTTGCTACATCCGGACATTTTAGTTTTCTTGCTACATCCGGACATTTTAATTTTCTTGCTACATCCAGACATTTTAGTTTTCTTGCTAGATTCAGACATTTTCGTTTTCTTGCTAGATTCAGACATTAGTTTTCTTGCTAGATTCAGACATTAGTTTTCTTGCTAGATTCAAACACTTTAGTTTTCTTGCTACATCCAGACACTTTAGTTTTCTTGCTAGATTCAGACATTTAATTTCCTGCTACATTCAGATACTTTAGTTTTCTTGCTACATCCGGACACTTTAGTTTTCTTGCTACATCGGACACTTTAGTTTTTGTGCTACATCCATACATTTAGTTTCTTGCTACATCCAGACAGATTAGTTTTCTTGCTACATCCAGACACTTTAGTTTTCTTGCTACATCCAGACACTTAGTTTTCTAAATAAAACGTTTTTGAATGGGCTTTCTTTGCAGTTACACGAGAGAACATGAACTCTTATTCAGAAGTTTTGATAAATATTTGAAATCATTCGTTAAATGTTTCCAACAATATACCATCATTTAGAAACATCCATTACAATGTCCAAGCATTTCTAAACAAAACTCACGAGTTTTTTTAATGTGCACCTGGTGAAATCTTGCTTCTCTGACAAAATGGTGTTTGAGATAAAATCAGTTTAAGTAATACCCACTCCTTATGTAACCACCTACAATTGCAGTTGGAAAAAAAAAATGGTGGACTGGATGCCCTTAGAGCACGTGTTGTTGTTTTTTTCTTTTTTTTTTGCGGCAACGGGAAGCGAAACATGAATCCTCAAATTCACAAACAGCAGGCCATGCTAACCACTAGGTCACGCCCGACTGACTTATTTTGGAAGATTTATTGGAATACATACTTTCATCATTTGACGGCTAACACCACATGAATTAATATTCTAACTTACTTTAAATTCGCATTGTTATAATAACAGATTTCATATTCTACAGCAGTAGAGTATCGCCATCGATGGCCCCACGGTCGATATGTTTAACAACTGTATATTTGGTCAGTAGAACACACTAGTTGAGGACAGCTATAAAGTTCAGTATCAGTAAATGTCAGTAGAACACACTAGTTGAGGACAGCTATAAGGTTCAGTATCAGTAAATGTCAGTAGAACACACTAGTTGAGGACAGTTATAGCTGTCCTCAACTATTGTGTTCTACTGACATTTTCTGATACTGAACCTTATAGCTGTCCTCAACTAGTGTGTATTCTACTGACATTTACTGATACTGAACCTTATAGTTGTCCTCAACTAGTGTGTGTTCTACTGACATTTACTGATACTGAACCTTATGTTCTACTGACATTTACTGATACTGAACCTTATAGTTGTCCTCAACTAGTGTGTGTTCTACTGACATTTACTGATACTGAACCTTATAGTTGTCCTCAACTAGTGTGTTCTACTGACATTTACTGATACTGAACATTATAGCATTTACTGATACTGAACCCACATTAACTGTTTTATTATTGTAAAATCTACACATTAACTATTTTATTAGTGTAAATTAAGTGGTAATTGTTTTGTTTTTTAAAGTCCCATCCCGATGGCTCAGCGGTAAGTTTGAAGGCTTATAATGATAGAAATGTTTTGGTACCCGTGGTGGGCACAGCACAAAAAGCCCATTGTGTAGCTTTGTGCTTAACAACAATCAAACCAAAATTATGTAAAATCTAACTGAAAAAACACGCTTTTTTTTAAAATCATAAAACGTCCGAGTTTACGGAACTGAACATGTAAAGAGTTAATATAACATTTGTCGGAAAGCTGATATTTCAACAGCTAAGACAACTTAGTTGTTGATCCAAAAACTATTATCTGGAGCTACAAGGAACTTAAATAATCAAATGTTATAAGCTATACTATTGATACTGAACTCCATTAATAATTAGTCTTAGCTGCCTTCAATTGGCACTCCCTACTGACATTTAACCTTATAGAGATTCTAAACTAGTGTGTTCTACTGACATTTACTGATACTGAACCTTATAGCTGTCCTCAACTAGTGTGTTCTACTGACATTTACTGATACTGAACCTTATAGCTGTCCTCAACTAGTGTGTTCTACTGGAAGATTTTACTCTAATAAAACAGTTAATGTGTAGATTTTTCTCTAATAAAACAGTTAATGTGTAGATTTTACTCTAATAAAACAGTTAATGTGTAGATTTTACACTAATAAAACAGTTAATGTGTAGATTTTACACTAATAAAACAGTTAATGTGTAGATTTTACACTAATAAAACAGTTAATGTGAAGATTTTACACTAATAAAACAGTTAATGTGTAGATTTCACACTAATAAAACAGTTAATGTGAAGATTTTACACTAATAAAACAGTTAATGTGAAGATTTTACACTAATAAAACAGTTAATGTGAAGAGTTTTCATGTTTTTAAAACTTATTTTGTAGTTACACATCTGTCATATGTCTCCAAATATATGTCAGTGAAAATGTCCTAAATCTTTATGCTGATTGAGAGTAGTTCTAAAAACATATATGTATATATTCCTTATTGAAAAATCAGTAACAGTTTTATGTGGATTAAATATCGTAACATAAAAACATATATGTATATATTCCTCATTGAAAAAATCAGTAAGAGTTTTATGTGGATTAAATATCGTAACATAAAAACATATATGTATATATTCCTCATTGAAAAGTCAGTAAGAGTTTTATGTGGATTAAATCTCGTAACATAAAAACATATATGTATATATTCCTCATTAAAAAATCAGTAAGAGTTTTATGTGGATTAAATCTTGTAACATAAAAACATATATGTATATATTCCTCATTGAAAAATCAGTAAGAGTTTTATGTGGATTAAATATCGCAACATAAAAACATATATGTATATATTCCTCATTGAAAAATCAGTAAGAGTTTTATGTGGATTAAATATCGTAACATAAAAGCATATATGTATATATTCCTCATTGAAAAATCAGTGAGAGTTTTATGTGGATTAAATCTCGTAACTTTGCACTTGCACTTTAGCGCTCATCTGGATGGACAACCTGTACTGCTCCGGGTATGAGAGGCGACTTGAGGATTGTCCATTTGATGGATGGAAGATACACGACTGTAAAGACACAGAGGCCGCTGGCGTCGTCTGTCAGAAAGGAGATGTACCAACTGGTGGATCGTCTTCAAGGTCTTTTCACCATCAAATAGCCCTCCAACAACTCCCAGTCAAGGTAAACTTCACCACCATGGAAAAGTCATTGATATATCGGATGAAAAGTTAAAAGTCCCAGTTTAGTGAGCTTTTTAATTTGGTTGCATATCAGTTGTTCCGTCATTCTTTTAGAACAACAACAATAACAAAATCGCTAGTTTAAACACCCAGTCTGCAAGTCAGGGAAACATTTTGAGTGGTTTGATTCCCAAACAAAGTTTGTCATCATTTTCTACACTAGTTTCCGGGCTATGAGGCAGTAAAACTCACACTTGTATTCGAATTTCCACACAAAACACGTTAGCGACCACACAAGGTCTGGTTTCTCAGCACTATAAAGCCGTTTTATCCGCGGTGTTCATGAGTTCCGTCAATAAAGATGACCGAGGAAGGCTTAACGAAGCTGCTGTAAAATGACTACTTGCGGTAACCTGTCAATCACGCTTCTACTAGTTTATGAAAGAGAAACACAGTCCTCCGGACAATTCCCTAAACTTCTAATCTTGGTGGCCAAGCACTACTGAGAGACGAGTTCTTCTGGCAGTAAAGTGTAGTTTCTTGAGAGTAACAGTTTGAGCCTTTTATCAGAGGTACGTTTTTGTTGGTTCTAACTTGAATACCGGAACTCATGACACAGCTGTGTAGCTCAGCCAATCCCCTCGAACTCGGTTTATTCGACTCGCAAACTGGGTGCTAAAACATTTTGATTATCGACTGCTTCAGATTCATATGATAGTGTAGCAGGTGTTTCTGTAGCTTTGCACAAACACGATCAACCCATATTCGCAGGAAGAGGGTGTGTCGCCATCACGAGAGAGAAATATTTCTCTGGTTTTAGTGTACAAATATTTAAAGAAATCTAAAACATGTGAACTATGGTATTGACAACATACATTCAAACAACTGCATTTGGTGAAACAAAAAATAAAGTCCTTGGTCTTGCGTTTAAGCTAAAGAGAAAAAAAACTTTAATAGTTAAACTAAATCTCTGTTTAATTGCAATCATTTTAAGTTCGTTGAGTTTGCATTTTGGTGCGTCAAAACTGTCTTTCATTTAGTTGTAGCTTTTTCTACAATTGAAAACGATAAGAAAAGCCACTTATTTTATCAACGCTTTTGTTTACGCTATTTTCTTGGGAAACCGATTAAGTGCAAAATATTTGACTGAAAAGAAAACATAAAGAAGGTTTGTTTTGCTTTTATTAAGTTAAGCACAAAGCTACACAATGAGCTATCTGTACTCTGCCCACAACGGGCATCAAAACCCAGTTTCTAGCGTTGTAAGTCCAACTGGTGGTGGGGGGGGGGGACATAATGAAGGACGCGAGAAGTGGAGGGTTTGTGGGTGCAGTCTCCCCCCATGCTGAGATAGAAATGTTGAACCGGTGCGTCCCGCTGTTCTCGTTACATTTTAATTATTATCAAATTATAAATAATCTTATCATCAACATTAAAAAAGTCTGAATTGCACAAAAAGTCACTATTTTCTATACATATAAAAAAACAACCCACCCCCACTTCATCTCCCATTTTCAACACTTCCAGTTTGAAATTCGTTCCCGTATCTTTGGGCGTAAGCCCAAAATTAAGATGCGCTACAACGCCTTACCCAGAAAAAAGTGTAAACTGCAATTTTGGGTAAAATGACCGCCCACTAAAATGTTTTATCCAGAAGAAAAACTAAGATGAAATACTAATAAAATAAAGTTTTTTTTTAGCTATAATTGTTTTTTTTACTTATAGAATGAAGTTTTGACTCTAGGGTTCACTATGTTACATTAAAAAACACTCATTCTTGTTTGTAGCTTGACCCAAGAAATGTTTTGCTTCGACTCGCTGGAGGGCGCTCGCCATCGGAAGGAAGAGTAGAAATTAAAGTTCCAGGAAATGGATGGGGAACAGTGTGTGGGGACGGCTGGGAAATTCTGGAGGCGAATGTCGTTTGTAAACAGTTAGGCCTTGGGTTCGCCCAAGCAGCATTACAGGTGGGTGTAATAAAAGGTTTAAAATGAAATTTGGACGACAATGGACCTTATATAACTGATCAGAAAAAGAAATTAAAACATAAAATCATCCTTTCATTTTTACACCAATCATAAATTCCCTTATTAAGCAACAGTAAAGCAGTAGCGGTCTCTACTACTACTACTACTGGTGGTTAGGACGCTCGACTCGCAATCTGCGGGTCATTGATTCGAATACCGTCAATATTGGTTACGTCACCGTTGTTAATTGATTTTCCGTAACTTCGTACCGACGAAACTTACGCGACACAAGCCTTTACTTAATAAAACTGGTTTATTCTTTCCGAATATAACTTAACCGATACACTCAACAATCGCGCTAAACAAACGCTATAGCAACGAACGTCAATAATACTCCGACCGCAGATCAATTACTCACTATCTACACACACATTACATCTCCCTACTTTTATATACCAGCGTAACCTATTTCTAGTAAGACCTTGAACATTCGACAAAGTACATGATAGTTCTAGAAACGTTGCGTCACGGCGGTCATGTGACTGCTGACGCAACACAGTATAATATACTCGTATTTTAACGTGCTTCGATCTTTGTAATTGTAATTTCGAACACGAATATAAAAATAATAAAAGTTTAGTTTTAATAACCAAATTCGAACATAGCGAGAAATTAAACATCAAAAATGCCACAGTATTATTTAGTGGATATTTAAAAATATGTTCTGCGACTCATTTTATTCCTCTTATTTACTGTCATTATCGTTAAAGTAAACTATTCTGCCATCTTTTGTTAAAACGCACAAGTATGAAATGAGAAAACGGTAACTATCTTGTTTTAACTATTTAAATATACAAAATATAAAGGAATATAAAATGAAAGAATACCAAGAACAAAGAAAAACAATTACTATAAGTAAAATACTCTCAAAAATGTTGGTTTCCCTTCTTACTTTACGCAATTTTTGCACTAATCATTATAAAACATAACCAAGTTAATTTATTGGTCAAATATCAAATAATGCTCAAACTTTTTAGGTTGTGCAAGACATTAGAAATGTAATGTCAGTAGCTAAAATAAACGAATACAGTGACAAATTTATCATATATGTCAATTTACCATTGTGTTCAATTTTAAAACATTTTCTTTCTTGCATAGAATTTTTTTTTTTTTTAAACACGTTACACTGACTTCTTTTAACAATAGATAATTTAGGAAACATTCAGTCGCAGTGTCTAAGAATTCAAATATAATCCAGTTTATTTATACATATATTTTAACGGATGAAAAATATACAGTAAGTAGCGAAACCTAAATGATAAGCTAAGAAAAGCACCATAAGATTACAATAACTTTCCTCAAATGTTTACAAATTTA